GTAAAATCTTAAACTCCATAATGGACAGACCTGAAACAGAGTTAGTTAAATTGGATGGAGTTTTTAGAACAGGAAAGTTTTACCAAGGAAACGAGAAGGAAAAACCAAGAGATATAATTGTTCAGTTGTACAAGTATGGTGATAAGGAAGAGATTTGGAGAAAGATCAAAGGGAGAACAACTATTGAGTATGGAGAAATAAATAATCAGATTTTTGCGGATCTATCACCTGAGACTATGTGGAGAAGGAGATCTTTGAAACCCCTGTTGGAGCAGATGAGAGAACGGAATGTACACTATAGATGGGGCACGCCAGCGTGTTTAATCGAATGGAAGAATGGAGTTACAGCTTACTTGAGATATCCTGAGGACTTGAGAGACTTCTGTGAGAGACTATATTTGCATAGAACAGAGATTACTGGGTGGGAAAGAAGAGGGAGCAATAGGAGTTGAGGGAAAGGAGGATTGGCAGACTGTTAGAAGGAGGAAGTAAGGAGGAGTGGGGGGATGTGAGTTTTTTTTTTTTTTCTTCTCTCTCCCATCTCAACCTCTTCCTCCCCATGGCGTTTCTTTTGGAGATCCGTTTTTATGGGCACTGTGAAAGTTTATAGGACTAAATAGATAGATGGAGGGTAATTGGGGAGGTTGGAAGGAGGGAGTGCTGTTCATGGGCGGAGTTGAGCTCTAAGGTTTAAATCAAAAGTGGATTTGAGACCAGAAATGATTAGTAGGCAAATTAGAGGCCTAAAAATGGGTTGGGTAGTAAAAGGCGGGGTATTGGGAGGGGGATGGGGGGGAATGGTCTGGGAGAATGGCGGGGCAGGGGTGGGGTCGGATGGGTATTGGGTGGGGAGGGGGGGGGATGTGGTGTGGGAGGGGCATTAGGGACAACACTCTGCATAATAGAAGGAGGTATAACAGCAGTGATACAAGAAGTATGGAAGAATTACGGTTTATAACATATAATGTAAATGGGTTGAATTGTCCTGGGAAGAGATTTAAGTTATTCAGAGAGTTGCAACATAGAGAAGCTTCGGTGGTTTTTGTGCAGGAGACACATTTTGAGATCAAGTCAAATATTAAGTTGAATTCTAGAAATTACCCAACATGGTTTTATGCAGATTCCCCAATTAACCATTAGCCGCCCGGGCCCTATAGCCGTTTGGCGGCCGCAAAAATGGTTTAGCTTTCCGAGGTGTACGCCATTTGGCGTCCTCCCGCACATGCGCAGTTCGCGCGGGTTGCAGAGCTGCGCTGCGGCGCGATCTACCACCAGCCGTGTACCTCAGACACGGCCGATGACAGATCTGAGTACCGACCGCGAAGTACCCCCCGTTGCCGGTACCATGTGACCTGCTGTGACCAATCACAGCAGGTCACATGACAGTTGTATACAATGGATGGCTTCATTCATGCCATCCATTGTATACTAGTGCCTAGCTGTGAATGGTCACAGCAGGTCACATGCACATGTCATGTGATTAGCTGTGGCCAAATCACAGCTAAGAACAAAAAAAAAAAAAAAAAAAAAACCCTAAATGAATCGATGTCATTCAGGTAAATGCTTGCTTATAGCAAAGTAATTCTTTGCTATAAGCAAATTGTGTAAAAAAAAAAAATAAAAAAAATACTGATCACTTCCCCAAAGTAGTACAATGTTACTATGGTAGCATTGTACTACTTTGGTCATAGTAAAATATGAAAAAAAAATCTTAAAAAAAATAAAAAAAATGTAATAAAAAATTAAAAATAATAAAAAAAAAATATATATATATATATATATATATATTTTTTTTTTTTTTTTTCATACTGTCACCAGTCAGTGTCCCTGTTCACCGCCATGCCAGTTATATGATGACAGTGTACTGCACTGGTGACAGTATGTAAAAAAAAAAATAGTGAAAATAATTTTTTTTAATTTTTACATTTTCCAAAAAATTATGACAAAAAAAATACAACTTCTAAAAAAACTCGCCATGCCTCTTATGAAAGTACGTCGGACTGTCTACTCGGCAAAAAGAGGGGTCATTTGAGGATATCTGTACTATTCTGACATTCTTGGACCTCAAGAAATTAGATTGACTGTCAGTACTTCAGGATTGATCAATTTTCAGATCTATACCATAGTTTGTGAACTCTATAACTTTCCTACAAACTAAATAATACATCCTAATTTGGGTTATTTTCACCAAAGACATGTAGCAGAATACATCTTGGCCTAAATTTATGAAGAACAATTATTTATTTGTAAACTTTTATAACAGAAACAAAGAAAAACGTGTTTTTTTTTCCAAATTTTTGACCTTTTTCTGTTAATTTAGCAAAAAATAAAAACCCCAGCGGTGATTAAATACCACCAAAAGAAAGCTCTAGTTGTGTGAAGAAAATGATAAAATTTTAGTTTGGGTACAATGGTGTATGACCGCGCAATTGTCATTCAAAGTGTGAGAGCGCTGAAACGTGAAAAATGGCCTGGGCAGGAAGGTGTAAAATTGCCCGGTATTGAAATGGTTAAGAGAGCTAAAGGAGTAGCAATAGGGTTTGCAAAAAACATAAGGTTGGAGATAGAAGAGAGAGAGATAGATCCACAGGGGAGATTTTTGTTTTTGAAAAGTAGATTGCAATTATGGAATGTACAATTGCGAATATTTATTCCCCAAATAAGAGACCGGAGGTATATTTGAAAGATGTTTTGAGAAAACTGATGGCCTTCTAAAAAGGGACGCTTGATAGTGGCAGGGGACTTGAATTTCTGTATGGATCCAGAAATAGATACAGCCTCTTCTGTGCAATGAGAGGGAGGTAGGTCTCTGTGAACTTTAAAGAAGGTGATGCATGAGTACCAACTGGTGGATATCTGGAGAATAATACATGGAAAAGAGGGAGATTATACCTTCTTCTCTAATGCACATGAGATATATTCGAGAATGGACTATACAGTATATTGAGTGATCATCAACTTATAGAGTTGGTGGCTAAAGTAGAAATTGAGACAATGTCCCTCTCAGACCATGCCCCTGTTATATTGAAATTAGAATGGTGGAGGCGGTTGACAGGTGGTATAGGATGGAAGTTGAATGAGGCTCTTCTCCTGGATCAGGAGATTGATCAGAAGATTAGAGAAGAGATTGAAAGATTTTTCCAGGAGAATGAGACAGAGGAAGTGTCAGTGGCTACAGTATGGGAGTCCCATAAGGCCTATATAAGAGGTATATTGATCACGTCCGGGGCAAAAAAGAAAAGGGAAAGAAGAGAGAAACTTAATGGGCTGTTAAAAGAAATATTTGACCTGGAGCAGATACATAAAAATAGAATAACAAAAGTGGCTACTAGAGGGTCTACTGATATCAGTGTATCCAGCGTCATCTAGTGCATGCAGTACGTTCCACCACAAATCCATAGTTGTACTGAAAGACAAAAACAATAGATTGGATATTAGAACTTCACCAATTTATTACATGTGTACAGATCAACTGCAACCTTTGTTTGACAGGAGACACAACCACCTAATACTTATCTAGAATATATGTACTGAATACCTGCTGGCCTGGTCATTCCCATTATGATTTGGCTTTAACCACCTCAATACTGGGCACTATTACCCCTTTCCTGCCCAGTCCAATTTTCAGCTTTCAGTGCTATCGCACTTTGAATGACAAATGCGTGGTCATGCAACACTGTACCCAAATTAAATTTTTATCATTTTTTTTCTCACAAATAGAGCTTTCTTTTGGTCATATTTAATCACCACTGGGGTTTTTTATTTTTTGCTAAATATACAAAAAAAAAAACCTCCCCGTAGTCTTCTGGGACCTGTCACGTGTCCCACAAGAGTACAGGGAGGGAGGGAGGACAACTTCCGCTTCCAATAGCCTAGGCGATCGGCAGCGGAAGAGGGAGAGGGTACCTGTCAAAATCGGGTACCCGCTTCCCAAAGGTGTCACTCCTTAATGGGGAGTGGTGGACAAGGCATTAAAACAGAACTTCCTTTTGGGTGGAGCTCCTCTTTAAAGTCTCGGGGACAGTAAACTAGCCCTTTGTTTAGAAAGTTTGGAGATCCCTGATTTATAGTATTCCTGATTGCTCCTCCCCGGACAGCAACATAAAAGGTTATGCAGGAAGGATAAATGAGGGGCAGAGGAGCTGGGCCAACACAGACACTAGTTGGACACTCCCAGAAGAGGAGGGGGCTGTTCTAAAGAACTGACTCTTCCAGATTTCATAGCAAGTTTAGAGGTACAATGCAAGTTTAATTTATTGAGAGAAAAAATGCTGCAATTAAAATACTGAATTTTTTCTGTTTATTTTTTTTTTAATGTTGCAGCTGGACGGTGCACCGAGTGGCTCTAATGTCTCGAGTAGACTACATCCAGGGATGAATGCAGACTGTTTGTGTTTTGGGGATTCATCTCTGGGTGCATACTGCCCTAAACATTAGCACCACTTGGCGCACCATCCAGCCACAGCATGTTTCAGCCCTTCATTATGTTTTATAGGCTGCTCACAGTGGGGCTGGATGGTGTGTCTGTGCCTTCTGCCTTCACCCAAATGCCAGGATCTCATGCCCTGGGCTAAACGCCCAATGTGCCTGACACCCTAAGCAGGTTAAAAAAAATCTCTCATGTAACTGAACCCTGATGCAAACATTTAGCTTAGCTCACCTGATTTTCAATGTCAGCCAGGGTTTTGATTCGAAGGTCATGGAAGCTAGGTGAGATTATCTAGTATAGGAAAACAATACGGGCAAATCTATTAACTTGTTGCCGACCGCAGATAGCCGAATGATGGCTGCACTGCGGCCGGCCAGTTCTGAGTGGACGTCATATGACGTCCCCCCAGAACGCGCTCTCCTGCGCGCCCCAGGGGGCGCGCACCCGGCGATCTCCGTGATCGCTGTGTCCTACGGACACAGCTGATCACGTGATGTGGTAAAAGGCCAATCACAGCGGCCTTTTACCACCTGATCAGCGGTGTCCAATGACACGCTGATCAGAGGGAAATGCAAGTGCCGGTTCTCGGCTGCACTTTCCTCACGCTGTCAGATCGTGAGGAAAGTACTGCCGAGAACCGGCAGTTGTCAGAGCGGGGATCGGCACCGATCATCAGGGCACTGATGATCAGTGCCCTGATGATCGGTGCCCAGCAGTGCCACCCGCAAGTTCCGCCCACCTGTGCCCTGCAGTGTGCCCACTAGCTCCGCCCAGCTGTGCCCAGCAGATCACCCACCTGTGCTCAGCAGTGCACCCACCTGTGCCCAGCAGTGCACCCACCTGTGCCACTCTGCAATTTCACACACCTGTGCCCAGAAGTGCCACCTACCTGTGCCCAGCAGTGCCACCCACCTGTGCCCACCCACCTGTGCCCACCAGTGCCACCCACCTGTGCCCACCCACCAGTGCTGCCCACCAGTGCCACCCACCAGTGCAGCCCAGCTGTGCTGCCAGTCAGTGCCACCAGTCAGTGCCCAGCGGTTGTGCCAGTCAGTGCCGCCAGTCAGTGCCCAGCAGTGATGCCAGTCAGTGCCGTCTATCAGTACCCATCATCAGTGTCACCTATCAGTGCCGCCTATCAGTGCTGCATATTAGTGCCGCCTATCCGTGACACCTCATTAGTGCTGTCTATCCGTGCCGCCTATCCGTGCCACCTCATTAGTACTGCCTATCAGTGCCCTTTAGTGCTGCCTATCAGTGCCCATCAGTGCCGCCTATCAGTGCCCATCAGTGCTGCCTCATCAACGCACATCAGCGAAGGAGAAAAATTACCTGTTTGAAAAATTTTATAATAGAAACAAAGAAACTTTTTTTTTTTTTTTTCAAATTTTTGGCAATTTTTTATTTATAGCGCAAAAAGTAAAGTGCCCAGTGGCGATTAAATACCACCAAAAGAAAGCTCTATTTGTGAGGAAAAAATGATCAAAATTTCATATGGGTACAATGTTGCATGACCGCGCAATTGTCAATCAAAGTGTGGCAGCGCTGAAAGCTGAAAATTGGCCTGGTAAATAAGGGGGTATAAGTGCCTGGTAGAGTGGTTTAAACAGATAAACTTTGGATATCATTTAAAGTGAGTATCATACAGCATATATGTTTCCTACTTTTCATTCATTTATAACAGTGAAAATCCAGTGGAAGTGTTTAAATTAAAGCTGAACTCCAGACAGATATATAAAATGGATGCAGCTCAGTATAAAGTATATGTGAATCCTCACCTTGTAGAACCCATTCTGTTTAAAATAGAAATGAAAGGCAAAACATTTGTATATAGATATAAAAAATATTATAAATATTATAAACACCTGAAAACCAAGCCTTTTCTGACACTTTTTGTCCACATGAATCAGTATTTATTGCTAGAAATTAATTTAAACCCCAAACATTTTATTTATTTTTAAAGCAAACACCCTAGTGAATAAAATGGTGGGTGCTGCAATTTTTTATGTCACATAGTACTTATGCAGTGATTTTTCAAACGCAATTTAAAAAAAAAAAATACGGGGGGCGTGGCCTGCCGAGATCCAAGATGGTCGTGTGATACAGGAGCTCCTGCCAGCCAGAGACCTTGCATCAATATTAGCAGAGGAGCGGGGTGAGACAGAGCCATTATATGATGGGGAAAGCGGACCAGAAGGTCACTGGCTCCCGTTCCCAATCTCCGCGGGTACATAACTCCCAGCAATCCAGACATATTCAGGAGCTGTTCAGCTCTCAGCAGAGTGACAGCCCACATGCAGCATCCCCCTCTCTCCCCCTCCTCCCTCCACTACAGTAACATGTGCTCAGAGCACAGACACTGGGGCTGGCATTGCATCTGTCCCACAGCATGATCTCTCTTCAGACACTCATACACTTTCTTTAAGAAATCTGCAGGCAGTTGCAGCTGACATTAAAGCTACTTTTACCACAGCCCTCAGTGACCTAAGAGAAGACCTTCATTTGTTAAGTACAAGAATAGAGGAGGTGGAATTCACAAGCAGATCTAATGCTGATGCCATAGTGGAGATCCAGCAGCTGTCAGTATTGCACATATCTCATATTCGTGATTTTTATAGACAGATTGAAGATCTGGATAATAGAGGTCACAGACATAATATCAGATTGCGTGGCTCGCCTTAATCTGTGGAGCCGAGCAACATCCCCAAAACAGTAATGGCGATCTTCAATGATCTGCTGGGCCGTCCACCTGGTGCATCCATTGATCTGTGCACACAGAGCGCTTCCCTCCAGAGGCAGAGATTCTGACCCCCCAAGAGATGTGGTGTGTTGCTTGGTCAGCTTTCCAATCAAAGAAGACATTCTCAGAAGGGCCAGAGAAAGACGACGCCTTTTATTTCAGGGTAATGAGATACACCTGTTCCAAGACCTCTCTTCTATAACCTTGCAACAAAGGCGAGAACTTCGCCCCCTGCTGGACACACTTTGCTCTCATAACATACCATACAGGTGGCGATTTCCATTCTGTCTCTCCACTCAAGCTCAGGGGCGCACAGCCTACCTGTGAGTTCCAGAGGATATTCCCAGCTTCTGTTCCGCACTGGACATTCCTCTAGTTGAGCTTCCAGGTTGGTACAGATCTTTGCGTCTTCCAAATGCTACTGAATCTGATTGAGTACCAAGTGACATGGATTGGCAAGACCCCCATCTCCACCGCCGCCGATCGGTCCCTTCCACTCCTCCGAGACTTCCTGCCAAAGGCTCTGCCACCAACAACAGCCCGACGGCCTCTCCTGCACATCGCAGACCCCGCCATGATGCCTAAAGGCCTTTCTTCGATCTTTTCCCTGACTTTCTCTCATCAGCAATACTTATCCAGATTATGATCTTACTGGATCCCTCTAATCCGACTCCAGGACCATGCCGGTAGCACCTCGGGTCCTATTTGGCCCCTTAACTGGATACCTTCACCCTTTCATTTTCTGCTCTCTAACCCATCCACCCTGGTCCAGGTCTTTTGATGCCCCTGCAGATGTTGCCAAATTCGCCTCATCGATCATGAAGACCTTTTCCCTCTCCGTCCCAGCTTCTTCAATGGACCACCAGTCCTAATGTACTTCCACAGGCACCCTCCATGTCACTGGCCTTTTTATTGCTGCTTTTGATGATCTTGCAGTGGTCAGAGGTGAATTCCATGCCCTCCATTACATATTGGATCTGGGACCCAAGCTGTCATTTCCATACTATTATTATGTTACATATCTGTTTGAAATCAAGTATCACCTCGTTACACTCTCCAGGTGTTGGTCCCTGGCCCCCTCCTACACCTCATGTCATAACACCCATCTAAACCACATTTTCTGCTTACAGGTTTTGAAACCATCATTTGGAGTTTCTGCTGAGCTCCCCCCCCCGGTCCCGTCCTCTTCCTTCTCCCCTTGCCTAGCTACCGCTATTTTTTCTTTTTAGACACGAGGTGTTACTTGATTTTTAGAATGTTGTGAAGTCCTATGGGAGCGGGGTGGGAGATGGATGGTTTGAGTTTTTGAGAGGGAGCCGGGAAGAAGAGAAGAGTTAGGACAGATGAGAGATACCTTAGAGTTCCAAAAAGAAATGGTGCACCATGTCTCATTTTTCCCAATTGTTTCCTTTGATGGTTGCTTTTTTTTTTTTTGAATGGTTGCCCTGCTGTTTCTGTGATGTTGCATTGTTTTTGCCATAAACAGATTATTATACGATTTGCTTTTCATCTTAATGATATGCAGGTTTTCCATCTGGCTTTCACTGATGTTTTATTTTCAGCATGGACTCACACACTGGCCCTACCACGGCACACCGACGATACCACAACTCTGCCTATAACTTTAGGATCATGCCACGACTGCATTCCACTTAGATGTGCATTTTCTCATTTTCCTAAATACAATGCTTCCAAAACTATACGCCCTAATGATATTTATTCGGTTTCCTTGCCCTCATGACATTTATTACATTTTCCTTCTGATATCCCTAAGCTTGTTGCTGCGTCTTACCTCACCCATTATGTCGGATGATGGCGGTTGTGCCCCCATCTATATCTTCATTCAAACAAATTGTGCTCACCCTCCCTCCCCGATTCTTGCATTTTTTAAGGTCCATGGCCCGACAGACTCTTTCTTTTTGGATCTAAGTCCACCACGTTTCACACACAGCGAGCTTTGAGAGCTCTCGCTGAACTTTTTCTGGCCGTCTTTACTCCCTTGTCCTCTGCCTCTCATCTCCTTTCATTCCTTGTTCCTCTTTCTGCTATTTCCCTCCTACCCCTTCTTTTTTCTTGTTCTTCTTTCCTCCTTCCCGTATCTTGGTGGGTCAGCTGGTCTAACCCCACTGCCGGTTATCTCTTTCTCTCTTTTTTCTCCTCATTTCCCTCTTCCTTTTAATTTCCTTTCTTTTCCTTCCCCTCTCCCCCTCTTCTTTTTTTTTTTCTTTCCTCTCTTCTCTCTCTTCCCCATACCCCCTTTCCCATCCCTTTAGGTTCCCTTTACTCTCCCGGACATGCCTTCTCTCAACTCCCTGTCAGGACACCTTTCGCTGAAAGTTCTGTCTATTAATGTGAAGGGTCTGAATACCCCTGAAAAGTGCTCTCTCCTGCTTTCGCACCTTTTTAAACAGAGAGCGGATATTGTTTTTCTTCAGGAAACGCACTTCCGTCACGATGCCATACCCAAGCTTACTAACTCCCGTTTTCCGACAGTTTATCATGCTTCTAACCCTCATGCTAAATCTAAAGGCGTTTCCATTTTGATTGCAAAGCACCTCCCTCTGGTTATCTCGGAGTCACTTCCAGATCCGGATGGTAGATTCCTGTTTCTAAAAGGTAATTTTGCCAATAGGCCCATCACTTTAGCAAATCTTTACGCACCCAACACTAGACAGGTATCCTTTTTCCGCTCCATTACCTCTTCACTCTCCTCCTTCCAGAGGGGATTCCCCTATCCTAATCTTTGGGAGGTGATATTAAGATTCCCCTATCTGTCCTTTATTGGACTCTCCTCGGGAAGCTCTTTCTTGCCATATAAGATCCTCTCTGATCATTACCCTATCACTATGACATTACGATTTCCGGAGAAACATTCCCGTTCTAAGAAACATTCCCGTTCTATATGGCGTTTGGATGCCTCTCTTCTTTATGACTCGGCCAATGAAGCAGAGGTTCGCTCCCAATTAATGGACAACTTTTTCGAACAATAAAACTCCAGATACCTCTTCATTAACTCAATGGGAGGCACATAAATGCGTCATACGAGGACTCCTAATAGCTATGGCCGCAAAACGTAAAAAAAGAGAGACAGACTCGCTTACAACAACTCTTAGATGGCATTAAATTCCTGGAAAAGGCGCACAAACATAATCAGGCCGCTTCGACTTTATCTGATCTTACGGACACCCGCACACAGCTCTTAAACGAACTAGGCAAGGCAGCTAAGCGCAGATTCATTTTGTCGCAAAAACTTTTTTATGAATTTGCTAACAAAAGCGGGAGATTCTTAGCCAGATCCCTCCAGACAAAAAAGTTGAGTTTAACGGTTCACAAGATTAGGGGCTCGGATGGCTCTTTGGCCAC